TAAAACATATAATATTACTTGAAATTAAAAAAGTGAAAATGCTAAATTGTAGCTTGAAGAATTACCTTTCTAATGAGGTATATATCAATATAGTATATTTAATCTAATTAACAAAAATTTTGCACAACCCGGAAAAACACCAAATTTTAATATTCGGGTTTTCTTTAACAAGACCAGATTCGAGTTCTATTATCCATGTCTTTAGCTACGATATTGAAGATATCGAGGTTTTGTGACCTCGGCAGTCTGCCTGGCTCCATAAATTATCTATATAGTTCAGGTCTGGGGGCTCGGAAGGTGTTTCAAAAAGTTCACAATAACCAAGACTCGATTTTGTGGACTTATGCTTAGGGCCCTTTTCCTGGAACAGCTTAAATGTGAAATAATGTGTGAATATATATACATACATATGTTTTTATATATATACTTGTATTAGAGCCCCTTTAAAATAATCTAAAAAGATCTACAACGAATTGCATATAAAACCTCTGAAGTAAATGATATATGTGTGTACGTATGTATATGTATCGTAGACATTTTAATCTTATGAGCGTGTAGCTTGCCTCGGTGTACGCAACCATTCAATGCAACTGTTTCTTTCGTGCTTCGATTATGTATTAGTATTATCCGAGGAGATGGAGTTGCTTCTGTGCTTTTTCTCTCATCGACCGACTCAATTTTAGTCGTCGGTTTTTATATTTGCTCGTCACAACGAATGCAATCAGGCTCACACACACGCATACATACGTTTTTATATTTTGTCTGCCCACAATGACAAGCATGTATATGTGTGTGGCACTATTAAAAATCTATTCCTACAACATTTTTTATTTTGAATAAGTTTACAAAAATACTACTGTTTAAAGTTTGTATGTTAAATGTTATACAATATGTTATGTTATATGCACGAACCTTTGTGCATTTATATATATGTACATAGATAGACAACTACACGTATACATACATATGTATGTATATTGTGTGCCGCCCACATGGGATGGATTTTAAAATGGTTGAAAAGCTGGCAATAGCAACAATAACAACAACCAGGACCACGAAGTATACAAAAATCTAATGCACTCAGAGTAGAACTGAACTGCGACCCTTGTATCAACAAAACTACAACAATATGAATACACACCCACACACACACAAAACACACAGAAATAATCGGGTATATGTGGGCGCATGGCTGCTTGTATACATTACTGTGTATGTGTGCAGCTGCATTTATGTATGTGTCCATATGCATGTGCATGTACAGAATACAGCATACGAAGTAGGCTTAGAGGAATCTGAAAAGTGACTGTAAGTTGAACTAGTTATGGTATACTAGAGAGAACTACTCACTTGTGCGCTTTTATGCATGTAACTCAAAATTATACATAGATATGTACATGTGTATACTATTCAAAATTATCGAATTTCTACTCTTACGAATTCTAGTAGAACACTAGTACCCTGCACTCATCAACAACCTACCGCTCTATAAAAAAAAATAAATAAAACAAATAAGAAAGCTGTAGTGGAGACTGCTCGACTACGAGATCCCTTGAACCCTTCGAGCAATATCTATTTCAATAATTTTTCGCGTCTTTCTGCTTACACAAGACACACGCACACACACACACACTCACACACGCATACACATATACATACACGCACACAAGCATTCCACGCCTAAACACGCATGGGCTGCTGTGTGCGCTTACTATGAGAACTTAATTGTGTAATAACTTTTCTTATTGATGTACTTTCTTCATGAAACTTTCAGATTATAAATATAACATGGATATGCATGCATTTGCCAAAGCACAAGTCTCTAGTACTTGAAATACTTGAGGGTGAAGGTGAGGGGGTGAATATAGGGGTGGCGGGTAAATTTTAACAAAACCCGAAATTGTATAAAATACATATAAGTCTACAATAAAAATTTGGAAAATCTAGCTCTAAAGGTGTAGGAGATATAATTAAATAAGGTGATATAGTTAAATAAGGTGATATATTTAAAAAAGCTTTTAATCGATAAAAAAAATCGGGAGTAGTTATCGATATTTAGAGAAAAACTCGATATGCGGAAACAAAAGTCTCTTTTAAGCCTCTAGATCTTATATCTTCTGAGATCGGCGCGTTCATACATTCGGACGGACGGACAGACAGACGGACAGGGCCAAATCGACTCAGCTCGTCGCCCTGATCAAAAATATATATACTTTGTGGGGTCTGCCACGCCTCCTTCTGCCTGTTACATACATTTCAACACAACCAATATACCCTGATTTCCCATTTTCAATGGGTTCAGGGTATAAAAATATAAATAACAAGTAAGAAAACTCTAGTCGAGAGTGCTCGACTAGATACTACCCTGAACCAAACTAATAACAAGTAAGAAAATTCTAGTCGAAAGTGCTCGACTAGATACTACCCTGAACCCAACAAATAAAAATGCTCATTTAGTATGGCTGAAATTTCAATTTCGATGTATTTAAAAATATAAATAAAATACCAAACTCATTTAATAAAATATAAAAATATTTTGAAACAATTAAAAAAAATTAACATCAGTTGCATCGATCGGGATTCGAACCGCGACTTCTCGATCGAGCGTCATGCAGCTAACACACTAGGCCACCNTGATATACATATATACAATCATTCGCAAATCGACTCAGCTCGTCTCCCTGATTAAGAATATATATACTTTTGTGGGGTCTGCCACGCTTCCTTCTGCCTGTTACATACATTTTAAAAAACCATTATACTCTGATTTCCCATTTTTTATAGGTTCAGGGTATAAATACCTGTAAGACTGTGCAACATGTAATTTCCCGATGTGTCAGCATGTGTGTGTGATTAATAGTCAGTCGTAACAACTACTTATCTATACATATATTTTACATATCAGTATTATCAAACCCAGCAGTGTAATATTCCAGATCAGGACAAAGAGCTGTAGCAATTAGTTTCTGGTGTAGTTAATAAAATTTTGTTTGTTACTAAGTCAAAAGACCCAGAGCACATATACACCTAAACACATTTTCTATGTATATGTGCATGTGTACTCGGTGTTTATCACAGAAATCTTAATGTATTTTCATCGATAATTTTTAAGAGTTTTCATACTTGTTGATTTTTTACTAAACTTAAACCATTACTTATCATATCGGTTTCCATTCCAGAAGCGAAGATTTAACCTCTTTAATGAAGCCTAATCAACACGGGAAATGCAAGTGAAAAATTGTGCGCTACAGATAAGCCCGCTGATAAGTAGTTCCTTTACATTGATACTTAAAATAACCGGAATAACTATAGGGATATTATCTAGTAAAGATATCTTAAAGATATTAATACTCGTTATCGAGTTGAAATATAGACTGGTTCAAGCACTGGCAGTAGCTCTCACTAGAGTCGCGGGTGGAATGGCAGAAACAGATACCACAGAGAATCAGGAAGCAGCAACGTTAGCTATCAAGTGCGATGATTCTAACAGTTCCACTTTCATTAGCGATAAGTCCAATAGTATTGAAAAAAAGGAATATAATGGGATGAAACTGCACAATTCAAGAAGCGAAAGTAATCGAAAAGATCTATACTGTAAACAGACAAAAGATGGTACTGATAGTGATAACGATAATGATGATGGCGATGACAATGATGCTAATGACAACATAAACGAAGAGGAGAAAGCAACACATATAATATGCGATGAAACCAGAAATTCCGCTCTACAGCAGAATGATGCAAATGTGGCCAATTTTTATCAAGAAGATGTTGGCCAAAGTTTAGATGAGAGAGAAAGTGAAAAAGCATCCTCTGTCGATGTGGGCCAGAACCAAGTTCAGCCAACATATACCACAAATACGTACATTGCCCCGGAGCAAGCGTTAGTTACTAGAGTGGAACTAGTTGTACCAGCTCAACTAAATTCCGAACAGATTCAGCATAGCAAGTTGCATTACAACAATAGCAGTAGCCGCAACAGCAACATCAACAGCAACAACAACACTACTAATACTACTACTACTACTGACGTCCAATTCAGCAGCGCAATGCCAGTAATGCCCACTGATAAAAACAATGGTTGTGAAACAGACTCCTCCTCTTCCAACGTGAATTTAAGGATTCCTACTAATTTAACACTAACGACAAAAACAACAGGTGATATTTTAAATTCAGAAAGGCGAACTACAATTTGGACACCACACGACGAATATAAAGCCTCAGTATCTGGCGCTGACACTGCTTCAGTATCTGGCTCTGGCTCCGGCTCTGGTCATTTGGAGCAACTCACTAGCAATTCAGATCGTTTACAAATGAGCTGCACTGATTCGAATGGCTATAAATCAAATATGTTTGGCTCACAGCAAGAGCCACATCATCCCGCCGACCTACTTTTGCAAATAGAAAAGGAAACAGCTGGAAATATAGGAAATTTTGGGCAGTTGCTGCCATTGGAGCAACATGAGCAACGACAACAACACTTCAATCAACAGCAACAGCATCACTCCCACATGCAAACTCATTTACAGAGCAGCATGTATGCACAAATGCTGCCCCAGCAACAACATTCACATCAGCAGCAGCCGCAGCCACTTCAACAACAGCTGCATCATCCGCAGCAACAGCACAACATACATCAAGAAAATATCTTGGAGCATCAGCAATCGCTACACTATGTCAATTATATACATCAGCAATATGCTCATGATCAATTGTTTGCGCTCCATCATTCTCATGATATTCAGCAACAGCAACAACAGCAGCAACAGCAGCAGCATGCTCAACAGCAACAGCATGCTCAACAGCAACAGCATCCGCAACATCGGCATCATATTGATTGTCATGGCCCGAGGCAACAGCAATCAACAATTCAGCATGCGATTTCTAATACACAGCAACAGATGCCGGAGCAATATCATGATCTTATGATCACCGAATATCATGAGGATCCCTGTTCAGGGTACAATTTGTGAGTAACGTATGAAATTCGGTTGATAGTCCAGATATACCTTCTACCACTTCTCAAGGCAATCTAATAATTTCATGTTTTTCAGAACACTTTCTCCGAGCAATGCTAAAACAGAAAATCAAGATGATGGCTACGAGACAAGTGCTGGGGATGTCTTAACACCTAATTCACATAGTTCGTCCACACACTCGGTAACCCCGCAGCATCAGATGCAACATGTGGCACCGCTTGGCTTACTTGCACAAAGTAAACATGAAGACTTAAGCTTAAACTCGAAACATAAACAAAGTCAAGCGACTAACACATCTAGCAGTAGTCCCCAAGTGCGAGTGGCCCAAGGTGCTTTGTCTGCTCTATCAATGTCACAAAATGTTAGTGCTGATCCCTACAGCTTTATGGCCGAAGAGATGAGCATTCTGTCACCAGCTGGTCATTCAGCAGCTATCGATATGCCAGGTACCACATCCAATGCCTCAAGCTATTCACCTGTACCACAAGCTCAAGGCTCAGCCCATTGTCGTGATATTGTTGTCACTGTTGTCCAAAAGCCCAGTGAAATATATAGCAACATTAAGGAACATCAGCAATCGCTCACGCCCAACAGCGAACCGCATACTGATTCTCATAGTACGGAAATTCGAATGGTTGGCGATGCATCCTCTCAAGATTCCAACAAATCCAACAATTTCGACTTGCAACACGAGAAGCCAGGCTCGGGGTCCCAGCCAAAGAGAAGGGGTCGTAAAAAGAAATTAATTGAAGCAGACAATATGCAAATAGACACTGCACAGCCATGGTGAGTACTTGTTTAGCCTATAAGAACCACAGTCTGCAAATACATTTGAACAACATTTTCTTATAAATCGATAAGAGAAAAATAGGATGATATCTTCGCCAAAGCATTTCAGTTACAAATAAATCAAGTTGTATGTTAACTGCTGGCAGTACTACTGTCAGCACTCTCAATATCGGCAACCGGATTAGATCTATTTGTTGAAGCTTTAACATTTGCTGGTGCCTTTATTATTTCTGTTTCAAAGACCCTTTCATCTATTATACTCAGAATATAGATGTATTGCTGATATTACTCACTCACATACTCTTTCGTTTCCCTAATGAAAGATAGTTGCCGGGCTGGTATACAACTTAGGTCTCGAAGAGATGGCTCTTGGTGGAATTGTATTGATATTGCAGGACCTCTATTATATAAGCAAATAATGATGGCCAATATCTAGTATGGATGGGAGACACCTTGAAAATTGCGCATATATTTCTAAGCTACTATTATATGGGTTTTCGTGTAGTAGATTTACTCGACCATATATTGGCTTTATCACACTATAATATTTACTTTGTACACTCTACATCAATTTAGCGGTAGCAGAGATGGAGGTGTTGGCTCAGAAGATATGCTGGCCATGAAGCCCAAAGAGCGTAAGAAGCACGACCGATTTAATGGAATGTCTGAGGCGGAAGTAATTCAGCGTACCATACCCGATCATCTTTGTGATAATCTCGATATTGTCATAGTGAGTTGTAAATTTCGTACAGTCCAGTTGTGCTGGAATACATGTTGGAACTGATTTGATATAGAGTACGACTAATATCTGGACCTTTTAACAAATAGGTGGGTATAAATCCCGGCTTGTTCGCTGCATATAAGGGTCATCATTATGCCGGCCCTGGTAATCATTTCTGGAAATGCCTATACTTATCGGGCCTGACTCAAGAGCAAATGAGTGCTGAGGATGATTATACGTTAGTTAAGCATGGCATCGGCTTTACTAATATGGTAGCACGTGCTACCAAAGGCTCTGCGGATCTAACGCGCAAGGAAATCAAGGAGGGTAGCCGTATTTTGCTTGAGAAGCTGCAGCGCTTTCGACCCAAGGTCGCCGTTTTCAATGGCAAATTGATATTTGAGGTATTCTCGGGCAAAAAGGAATTTCACTTCGGTCGGCAACCTGATAGAGTCGAAGGCACTAATACTGTGAGTATATACGAATCTAATTTATCTATTTTGCCATAACCTAATGCTTTTACACCGTAAGCTTATTGCAAAATTCAATTTAAAAGTGCATATAAGTAAGAACTTAAAAGGATAGTCAGATGCTCGTTCGTATGAACGCATCGATATCAGAGCGATATTTTTAGTCAATTAAAGCATTTTTGTAGACGATATGCAGCAGCAATGGAATACTTGATCCCATTTCCTAATTATCGATGAAAATCGACCATTTGTTTGCTTTTAATCCAAACTAGAATGTCACAAAAGTTGAACACATTTCAAATAATGAAAAAATTCTTGAGATGAATACATAAATTTTACCGCAGCATATTTGCGTAATATTCCAGACTCGTGCTTTGGCAAATAGCAATCTAACTTAATCTAAATAAAAGTTATTCATTTAACCTCTAAACCTTATTTTCTATTCTACATTCTAGTATATTTGGGTGATGCCTTCATCTTCGGCGCGATGCGCTCAGCTGCCTCGTGCTGCAGACAAAGTGCCATTTTATGCAGCATTGAAAAAATTTCGGGACTTTCTCAACGGTCAAATACCGCAAATGGATGACTCGGAATGCATATTCACAGAGCAGCGTATTAGGCAATGCTGCGAACAGCAGGAGTCCGTTAAGAATTTGCCAACGCCAACCAACTCCAATAATAATAATAGCTCCAATAACAATATGGAGCAACAATCTAGTCTTATGTTTGTCGACCATGTCAACAATAACCCCAGCACTAATAATAATAATGAGCCCATCACAGATTGCGCGAATAAAAGTCTGGACAAACAGCTGTTGCCGCACTTCAGTAACAATACAAATCCAAGTTTGAGCAACGTGAATCCCCGTGATGGTTTTACCTATGCCAGCAATGAGGAGTCAATGCGTAACAGCAATGAGCACAATTACTTACCTGTATTTGGGAATACACAGGCGGCGCCACCGTCACTGCCTGAAAAGAAAAAACGTGGTCGCCCCAAAAAAATTAAAGGCCAAGACTTAATGGACTCTGCAAACGGGGGCAAAGTGCAGCTAATGGTCCAGCACGATTTCAATAATATTTTGAATTTATCGATGATTGCAACAAACGCTAATAGTAGCACGGGCAACGGTACTGAGTTACCCACTAAGAAAAAACGTGGCAGACCAAAAAAACTAAAGCCCAGCCTAGAGAACATGTTGACAAACGTCAAGCAACAGCATCATCATCATCATCAGCAGCAGCAGCAGCAACAACAACAACAACAACAGCAACAATCGGCAAATGCAACACCAACTGGAGGTATGATTTCGATTTCAATGGATCATAATACTGCATCCCCACAGAGTCAGAGCCATCAAGCGCTACCTAGCTTATATAATACGCCGCCTCCTTCACACATATTATATACAGCATCTGCGTCGCCAATGGCTTCGCCAGCTCTCAACTGCAGCTACCCGCCAGTCGGTCAAGACCAGCAACAGCAGCATATGCAGCTTATACAAACAGATCATCACCAAATGCAGGCTGCTGTTGGCGCAGTCATCAGAGATCAACCTCATTTAGGCGAAACACCACCGCCGAGCTCACCAAATATTTGTACTGGGGTTGACTTTGAGCCGCCAAGCGAGCAGAATGATGGCCAGGATACTAATCTACTGACCCGGTCGGCAGATAAATTGCAAATGGAGCCACTGACACATGTACCCGAACATTATCAGCAGTGGACACATCATCAGCAACAGCAACAACAATCCGCCCAAAAGCTCAATCAATCCCAATCTTCGCCCGTTAGTCACTATCAACCGCAAGCGCAACTTAACTATCAACCAGATCCGGCTGAGCATTGGCAACGCTATACTGAACACAGCAATAGTCGATCTTATATGGTATCCTCACCCCACTCAAATCATAATATAAATGTAAGTCCGCAACTGACTAGTAATACGCAGTCAAGTCAAGCTGCCTCCGCCGATATGTCGCGTAAGAGTTTGTCGGGTCTAGAATCTCTCGTTGATCAAATACCAACAATAAGTGAGCATGAAACCAACGTTATATCCACAGCAACAGCAGCTGCAGCAGCTGCTGCTGTCGAAAGTCGTTTATTGGGACTACAACAACAGGAGCAGCAGCACCAGCAGCAACAGCAGCAACAACAACTGCAGCAGCAAAAGAATGTTCATACGGAATCTACATCGAACAACAATGTGATTAGCAACTTTTCTGTTAGCAGTTTGGCCGCATCGTCAGCTACAACGAATATTGATGCACATTTGGACCAAACGAACAGCAGTGCTAGCAGGCTCGAGACTAGCAGCAACACAAATACCAGCAATAACAACAACGACTATCCCAATCATAGTCAGGGTGGCTATGCGCATCCACATGCTAGCCATTTGATTAGCTCCGCGTTGGTAACAGCAACAGCTGCTGATGGAAGTCAACCAGTGATGCATCCACATCCACCTCCACACCCACATCCGCATCCGCATTCGCATTCGCATTCACATCCGCAAATGTATATGGAACATATGCACATGGCCCATGCGATGCCAACGGTGAATGTCAACCCAATGTACGCTCCGCCTTATGGTCCACAGCATGGTGCATCAGCACCCGAATATGGTCCCTACAGCGTGCAGAGTGGTACGCCTGCATTGCATGTGCCCAGCCCAAATTATCCATATGCCCACTATGGGCAACAGGCTAATTACACTGGCTTTGCACATGCACATCCACACCCGCATCCACACCCACATCCACACCCGCATTCGCATCATCCACACCATCACGTAGGACATCCAGCAGCGCACCATTTAAGCGTCTTTGACCGGCTTAAGCCGACGGATATGAGCGGCTATACGGGATACTAATAACAACCACAACAGCTACAATATAAGTTCATTTAGCAATCTCTCCGGCTAAGCCGGTCATACATATATAT